GGCCAGTGGGTGTCTGGGTCTCCCTTCGGGGGACTCGGCGCTGCTCTGGGGCTGGGGGGAGGATGGGGGTGGCCTCAGCTAACACAAGGCAGCAACAGTGTCTGTGAGATCACGTGAGGGTCGGCAGAATCCGCTAGACCTGTGTTGTCCAGTGGGGATTGAGTCTTAGCTTGTCTCTTGCTGTGTGACCTTGGACACAAGTGCAAACTTCTCTGTGTTTGAAGTCACCTCATCTGGAAAAGGGGGTGATCCCGTCCTCCCGGCAGGAAGCAGCTGGGCTCAGGGCTCCTGTGTGGGCACCCAGCGTCCTCTGTCCTGGGCCCTGTGGGACGTCATGGCAGCGTGGGGTCAAGACTACACGCCTGGCCACGGTGATCCCTCAGCGGCCCCTTGCTTGCTTCTGAAGCCCGAAGCTCAGACCCACCAAGGGCCTCCTGTTCAAAGTCACTCGGGGCTAAAGGGGTTCCAGGTCCCTCCTGCCTCAGGTGGGGACATGGAGGCCCAGAGAGGAGACCCACGCCCGCACAGGGCCACACAGCTGCAGCTATCCACACATCCCTGAACGGAAAACCACTCACGGGCCTGTTGAAACTGACGCAGACCTGCCCGCGGAATGGTTTGCTGGTCAGGCATCCACCAGCACCCAGGCGAGGCCACTGCGATGGGTTCAGAGAGCAGCCTCGGGGGTGTGACAGTGGAGACCCCTCTCTCCTGGCTCTCCCCCACGAAGTGCAAAAGAAAAATCCAGAAACAATACAGCAGACGACCACAGAGCTCTGCAGGGGGACAGGAGAAGCGGACTGGCTCGGGGCCTTGAAAAAGGCAGGACTCCATGTGTCATGGCCCACGTAGGGGCATAAGGTGACCAGGTGGGTGTTTTCCTCCGCCAGCCGCACTGCAGATATTGAGCTGGAGGCCCGTCGGCACCCCTCCGCCTGGAGAGTGCGCCCAGGGAAACACGCTCCATCCACAGCCGCTGTCTCCAGCCCACCTCGGGGCACAGAGCATCCCAGGAGGTACAGCTCACTCCCAGGTGGGCTCAGCAGACCAGGAGGGCATTGGACAAGCATTCTGAAGACTAAATTGTCATCAGAACCACAACCCATCATAAGCCAGGCCCTACTTAGTAAACCTAAACAGGGTGGCAGCCTGCTAACTAGGAGACTCAGCTAGAACCCAGCGTCTCCCAGACGTCCAGGAACAAGGGAGAGTTAGTCCTCACACTGAGAACCATGAAGATAACTATTTGAATGAGAAAAGACAGCAGACGCAGCACCAAGAAGAATCAGATGTTAGGAGGTCCCTGACAAGGATCTTCAAGGCAACCATCACCACAATGCTTCAACAAACAATGACAAATACTTTTGAAACAACTTGGGGGTGGAGGGGGCGCAGGAGAAAATCTCACCAAAGAAATAGAAAACATAACCAAATGGAAGTTACAGACCTGAAAAAGAAAACAACCAAAATAAAAGTTTTTCTTGATGGGCTGAATAACAGAATAGAGAGGATGGCAGAGGAGAGAATCAGGGAATCTGAACAACAGAGAGAAAAGAGCCTCAGTCTGTGGGACAATAACTGTATCATGAGCGTCTCAGAAGAAGAGAAGTGAGTGGGTCTGAGAAAGTATTCAGAGAAATAATGGTTCAAAACTGACCAAATTTGACAAAACACATAAACCCACAGGTTCAAGAACAGGCGAACCGCAAATAGGATAAATCCAAAGTAACCTACTCCAAAAACACATCGTCATTAAACTTCAAGAAGCTAAAGATAGAGGGAAAATTTCTCGGGAGCAGAACAAGACAGATTTTCTATCGGGGAACACCAGTTCACAGGACAGCCGATTTCTCGCCGGAAACGATGGAGGCGAGCGGGCAGTGGCACCACATTTTTCAGGTGCTGACAGACAATTGCTGTGGACGTGAATTCTGCTTGGCTGAAAGTGTCCCTCAGGAATGACTGGGAAATAACGACATCCTCAGACAAAGGAGGCCTTGCCTTGCAGCCGGGGGCTGGGTGACCTGGGACAGGTCCTTCTGTGTCTGTGCCTCCATGCGCCCTCTGTGAAATGGGAGGAGTCGGCCAAGTCATTTTTCTGGAGCAGCCGTAGAAGAGGCCAGGAGGAGGGGGGGCAGCCCAGCGGGTCTGGCCCCAGGCCCCTCTCCCACTCTGTCTTCCAGCCCGACTTTCATCTGTTGTGTGTGTCAGAGTTCGAGAAAGATTTCAGGTGACAGGAGGGTTCCTCTGCTAGAAGGAGTTTGAGAACTCTGACCTTGATGTTGCAAAAGGCCCTTCCTGACCCACACCCGGAACCTTCCGAAGGCCACGGGGGCAAGCAAGTCCCCGAGGCAGGGCCCTGAGCGGAGGCAGGTCCCCAGATGCGCCTGTACAGGATGTTCCTGTCCTCACTGAGTTCTCGAGGAACCCTCACAAGGAAGGGCACCTGGCCCCTCATCCTTCGCTCAGAGAGGGTGGGTGGGGCCTGAACACCGAGGGGCGGGATCCGCATCCCCTCTGAGCCCTCGAGGGCAGCCTGGCGGCTCCCAGGAGCAGGCACTGGCCTTTGGCCCTGAGCATCGTTGCCTGAGCAGCTGGGTGCCGGCCGGGACGGGGGCCAGGACCCCCAGAGAAGCAGACGTGGGCTCTGTCCTTGGGGTTCACAGGGCTATGGAGGACTGACAGCTTGGGCCAGGCCTGTGGAGGTGCTTCCGGGTGGGGACCCTGCCTCTCCAGGGAGCCAGGACGCGGGCCTCGCTCACGTCTGCGCAGGAGGGCACTGCCGGGAGCCCCGCTCCGCTCTGCAGACGCGGCATGGGAGGGGTCGGTCTCAGTCCCCAGGGGCCGGGCCGCCGGTGTGAGCCACAGGTGGACCAGGGGTGGGCTTCCCATGGGAGGCAGGACCCCGTGTCTCAGGCTTTGAGAGCCGCTAGGAATTAGGGCTTCAACGTGAAATGTCCCATTGCAAAGAGCTGAGGGTTTGTTTGTAATGAAATGGTCTGCAGGCCCTTTGGTTGGTGGTGGGCCTCCTGCCGCTCCGGCTCCAGGTGGCCCAGACTGACCCCTGTGGTCAGAACACAGTGCCCGCCTGGGTGGGGTCAGGCCCGAGGTGCCCTGGTGTCCTGGGCTGGCTCGGGGACACCCCCCTCCCTGGCTTCCTCCTCAGTCCCTGGGGACAGAGGTCAGGATGGAGGCAGGGCCTGATCCTCGGGCCCTTCGTGTCCCCTGCCGGCCCACACCCTGGCCTCCCTCCGCGGGGCCGTGCCTGCCGCGTGCGTGACGGCTGTGCTGTGTCTGTTTCAGGGTTCCCCTATTCCAAATCTGACCCTCTCCCAGGACACGGGAAGAATGGCTTGGACCACCGGGTAGGTACCCCCTCCCCGGCCCGCGGTGTACTAACCTCGCTGTGAGCCCGAGCAGTCCCCACAGCGTCCTGACAGCACAGCTAGGAGGGGGCCCCAGGACCCCGCTCTCCCGCCTGCCTGTGCCTGCTGCTCCACGGGGCCCACCTGCTGCTTCTCCAGACCAGACAGAACCGGCAACACCCCTTCCCCCTTCCCGGGAGAGCCCCCCGGGACCTGGGAGTCCTCAGCGTGTCAGGGCAGGAAGGTGGGGGGCACCTCCGTCCTTCTCCTGTGACCTAGAACCCAAAAGGACCTTAAATGTGAGCCAAGGACCCTCTTCCTTCCCTGGGGCCCGGCCCCTCCTGCCATCACCAGCACCTCTGCCCCCACGGCAGGTGTCATTGGCACGTGGGTGTCACTGGAGGCCACACAGCAGCTCTCCCCGGCTGCGCCCCCGTGTCGTCTCGGGACATCCAGGGGCCACTCCAGTGGCTTGCAGCCTGCCTGTCCCCCATGAGGGACAAGACCCTGGCAAAGAGACGCCACTTCTGACCCTCTTCCCACAGTGAGGACCCCCGCCCGGGTGGGCGTGATGACACCAGTGACCATACGTGTGCACGCGCACACACATGCATACACACACGTGAACATACGCACACGTATGCACATATGCACACACATGAACATGTGCACGCGCACACACGTGAACATACGCACACGTATGCACACATGCACGCACATGAACACGTGCGCGTGCACACGTGCATACATGCACATATGCCAGGCCCCAGGAGGCTCTGCCCGTGGGATGCTGGTCCGTAAACAAGGCGATTCAGCCTCAAGGCTGCGTCCCGTGGCTGCTCCGTGGCCGCCTCAGCGATGAGTGGGGCCCGGGGACAGCTCCTCGGCCTCCCCGGGGGTCTCACAGCCGGGCCAGGCCCTGGGACACGGCCTCGGACAGGGACGCGGCCCCGAGCCACGGGCGTCCCTCGGCCTCTCAGTCTGCCCCCGGCCCTGTGGACGCTGCCGTCTGTCCGGCCGGGGCGTGCATGCCGCCTGCTTCTTCGGTTTCCTCTGTGGGGTCTGCCCACCCTTCGTGTCCACGGGGAAAGTGGGGGGTGAGAACGAAGACGGTGTCCCCCCAGGAAGCTGCCGGGGTCCTGAGGGCGGGGGGCGGGGGGCGTGGTCCAGGCGCTCTCTGCTCACCAGCTTCCTCTGCCTCGGGGTCCTGCCCCCCCCCCCCCCAGCCCAGGCCCCTCCGTCTTCAGAAGGGAGTTCAGAGAGGCCGTCTCCCTGCTCCTCTCGCCTCGGGTCCCCGCGCTGCCTCCTCCCGGGCGCCTGCCTTGGCTCCCAGCCCCATGGAGGCCTCCCAGCCCCTGGCCTTGGCCGCCACCCCCTCAAAGGGCTTGGGGACAGCTGGTCCTGACCCTGGGGGGTGGGGGGGCAGGTCCCCGTCCGCTCTGGAGCAGGGAGGAGAAATCGGAGCCCCGCTGGGCCGCCCGCTTGCCCTCGGGCGGGACGGTGGGCCGGCGGTGTGGCTGCGTGTTGCGTCGGGCCCGTCATCGCGTGGAGAGGACTTTGCCGCCCGCTCCGCGGGGACCGTGACGGTGACGGAGCCTCGCTCTGGTCCTCTTTCCCTGCGACACTGTCCCTCCATCTGTTCTCTTCCCAAGACTCACGGGCTCTCCCGCCTGTGTCTGGGGGAGGCAGGTCATGACCTTTGGCTGTCCCGGCTTCGGGCAGCTGCTCAGTCACCCTCCCCACAGGCCCCCAGGGGCCCTTGTGCACCCACGGCGGTCGAAGGCCTGCAGGGCTCCCGGTCCCTGAACTGAGCTGTTTCCTGAGGTTTTTTTACGTCCAGAAAGTCTCTGGGTGGCCTATCCGCAAAGCACAAGTGGCATGGCCAAACCCCCTAATCCTAATCCTTGAAGGAAGAAAAAAGACGAAGTGAGGAAACCGGGTCGGGTAAAACCGGAAAAAGGGGGAGTACAGCGTGAAGGCGGCAGGAAAGGAAGGATAGGAGTTAAGGGG